TGTGGCATAGTCACGTACAGAACTATTTTGTCTAAGTCTCTTTAATTGATCTCTTAGATATATTTGATAATTTTCAGGTTGGAACGAATTTTTTACACTGATTTTGAAAACATTCCAATCATTCCAAATTTGTGTGATGTCAGGTTCGGCTATTAGTTTATTCATCCACCAAGATGCAGCAGCATCTTTTATTCCTGTAGTGGCATATCGAATTCTAGTTATATCTTCTACAATAGCTCGAGTAGTGAAAATATTTTCAAGAGAGATGAACCATGAATTAACATTTTCATGTGGACGGCCATAGAAAAGTGGAATGGTTACAGGTAATGTAGGAGTAGAGGCAGGTGTGTTATTATTCAGTTGAGCAGTAAGCCCAGTCAAAGCACTGATTAATGTATTAAATTGGTCTTGATTCATGTTTTCAGGATTTTTGAAGGTAGGATCGGTGTTAAACAAGTTGAGGCCAGGTAAGTTATTATTTTCTTGATTCCCAAAATTAAATAAATTATTAAAATTTAGAATATTATTATTGTTATTCTCAGGGTTATTTTCAGCAGGTTGGATCTCTGGAAAGGCTTTGTCTTGAGGATGGATGGATTCGATTTTTTCTTGAGTTCGCGGAAGATCAGTGGTTCTCTGGGGAAGGTTTTCAGGTAAGTTTTGAGTTTCTGGTTGAGTTGGTCTGAGATTTCCAAAATAATTAGCTAGAGTAGCAAATACTCTTGCTGCTTCTTCCTCTAGATTCGCTGGTTCGTGAGTAGGTTCGGAATTTATTACTTGGATTTCTTCCGAGGTAGCATCTTCTTCTTCGTCACTTAAAGGTATAATAAATTGCTGGTGTTCAGTGAGTTGTGATGAAGTTCTACTGCTTTCAGCAAAAGTTTCTCCTTGTGGGTAGGTTACTTGTGGAAGGTTTCGGACGGGGTTCGAGTGGTAGAAGAATAAGTTAGGGTTGAAGGTTCTTTGTACGGTTGCTGCGGTTGCTGTGGCTCACAGCGATGTGGTAATTGGGATGGAGTTTCGAAAGTTTTCTCACTATAATTTTCTTCAGGAAAAATATGTGCAGGGTTATGCTCTTCTTCCTCGTTATAATTAAAAGCCTGGGTGGTTTCTTGAATAGATGTAAATTCGAATGGGGTTGAGATTTCTAATGGGGGTAATTGTGATGATGTAGCTAATCTCAATTGAACTTCTTGTAATCGTCTCTGGACAAGTTCTTGAGCGACCTGAGCACGAACTTGGTTTAATTCTTCCTCTAAAAGTCAGGTTAAGTCAAGGAAATGGCAATACGACTCAAAATCTTGGGAATTAAGATCTCCTTCAGATGAAGCGTCTTGTAGGTAACGTTCGTACTGGCTTCTATATAGGTGTAATTTAGCTTCAGCAAAAAGTTGGTCAGACTCAGAGTTTTCAGAGATTGTATCTTCATCTGAGGTAGGTTGGTTGTTTTCTGGGTTATTATTATTATTACCACCAAAGTTAAAGAATCTAAACATAAGCTAAATATATATTGTTTTGCGAATTACTGCGCATAAAAAAAATATTATCAGTGACGGAACGGCGAAATTAATATATTATAGGTTGGATTTTATTCAGCTGGTTCTGAATAACAAAAGTTTACTTAGCTACAACTAAGCAAAAAAAAAAGGGTTGAGTTTATTCAAGCAGAGGGTTAACAAAGGGTTAGGTTGAAAAAACGTCCGTTGCTACCAAATGTAACGAATCTACTAATTCATTTTAGAAAATAAATATTAACAAATATTTATTAGCGAAGTTTGTGGTTTATAATTAAATTATTTTACAAGACTTGCTTGTTCTTTATTAATTATATGTTATATTTATATAAAAATACATAATTAATGTTACATAATATAAATATATAATAAATAGTATCTTAGGTCTTACAAGACCAATCCGGATGGTTACATATGATAATTAATAAATAAAATATAATAAAAGAAATAAAATAGAATAAGATAAATGATTAACACATGGGATTGCAAATCTATTGTATATCAAAGCTAATCACATATGCTATCATTCATTATCAAAATATAAAGATAAAAATATAAATAATAAAATAGAAAATAAAATAAGATAAGTATAATAAAATAGAAAATGAAATAAAGTAAATATAACTACATAGAGGATGTGACAACGAAACTGTTACAAATACAAGCACTTAAATATAATTATATTTATATAATACCAAATGAAAATAATAATAATGGTAATAATGATAATGAAAATAATAATAATGGAGATGAAAATGATAATGAACAATGTAATTATATTTTTATATTATTTTATTTTATTTTATTTATTATTTTATTTAACTTTAATATTATTTTATAGATATATCAAATTTATACATGAAGAACCATCAGATGATAATAGTGATAGTGTTAAAATGATAATTCAGATAGTGATCTTGATACTTCTGAAAATTTGCTTCAATTAAAAAAACTACTTCAGAAAGAAATAATCAGTAAACAATAGAATCAATGAAAAAATTATATATGATTCACTTTTTTATTATTGGAATCAACCATCAATGATTAGTCTTCTTGCAACAATTTTAGATCCATAACTAAAATCTCTTTCTAATTTGAATGATGATATTCAAAAAAAGGTGAATGAAGAATTTAAATCTCAATTATTAAATTTAATTAATATACAAGAGACAACTTTAATTTCAAATTCTAATACAACAACATCTAGTTTTCAACATGGCTACTTACATATTTCAATATTTGGAACAAATACTTCTAATATAGTTAATTCAACAAGTGAATTAGAATTTTATTTAGATCCTATGTATACACCTATTGCAAATAATTATATAAATCTATTTAAATGGTGGGTTGAATGAAAAATACAATTTCCAAACTTAATTATATTAGCCAGAAAATATTTATCAATTCCTGCATCATCTGTACCTAGTGAACATTTATTTTCTGATGCAGGAAATCAAATTACTATCAAAAGAACAAGTCTTGATTCAAAATTAGCCAGTAAAATGATGTTTATGAAAAGAAATTTTAAATTTATTCAACTTTACTAATAATATTTCAATTTTATTTCAAATTATTTTAACTTTATTAATAATATTTTAATAATTTTTAATGTTTAATATAATATTTTCTTAATAATATAATAAATATATATAATAAATAAAGTAAAATATTAAAAAAAATAAATGTTGTTGACCGTGATTACCTTTACTAAACACGATTAACTAACAACTAATAACAGGAAAACTATTGTCCAAAAGATCACAAAGCAATTGGACGAATGGGTTATAGTTGAAAGGTTTTATACTTGAAGAGGTATAAAGGGTAAAGGATTTGAGGTTGTGGGTTTGTTCGAAAGAAGCTAAGGTGTGAGGTTTTTAAAGGGATATGGGGTTTAAACAATATGACACTAAGGCAACTAATATTCACACAGAATATTATAAGTTTCACACAGAAATTACAAGAATTCACACAGAATTAATATAATTAACCAAAATCACGAAGCAAGGTTAATTATAGGCAAAATAATACCGAGATCACGAAGCAGGGTATTATTTATCAAAAAGTATTTCACTAAGAAATCAAAGGTTTCAAATTATTATTTTGTCACAAAGACTTTTATTAATAATTTATTACATATATCAAGTTCAGAATGTATTCAAGTTCTAACTGTCCTTGTTCTAAGGGCAAAAAGCATAGGGATAGTTTGTTTTTATTGGCCGGTATGATCAACAATCTCGTGATTGACATGATGATCAAAATTTCGATTTTATTGGCTGGTGATCAAAATCTCGTGATTGGCATGATCGTTCAAAATTTAGATCAAAAAATTTGACGCGCGATTTGTTTTATCAAAATAAAAATAATAATACTTCTTTAACAATCTCATTAATTATTCCAATATGGTTCGAAAAAATTTTGGTCCCTGTTCAATACAGAATTGTAATAGTCAAGGACCCCGTTTTCGTCAATTCACCCCATTAGCACAAAAAAAAACTCAAAAAAATGGAAACTATAAATATTATACTTATTTGAGAATCGGGCAACAACTGTGTCATACTCATTATATGTGTATTGTTGAAGCTGACCGTAATGAAAAGTTAAAATCACAAGGTAATATTATATGATCATAAAATTTTTATTTATATTTATATTATAAAATAATTTATTTGACATTTTATTTTATAGAACTAAAAAATTATTCATTTGTTGAACAAGTTACCATGCTTACAAAAGTTTTATATAAGCAACGTGGTAATATAGAACTGGATCCAACACGATTTCAACAAATGATCATAAAAGCTGAGCCATGCTTACAAGGCTTTTTTGATAAATTAATGAAAGCACTTATTCCAGATAGAAGATCCATGTACAATAAAATTGAAGCACAAAAAACCATTGTGACATTATGTTATATAATGGCGGGATTAAGAAACAAGTTTGCAAATGATCTTAAATTGGAGATTGGATTATACTTGTCATCTTCAGGTGCAACACGTACTGCAATTGATACAATGAACAATATTGGACTTTCTGCATGTTATACAACAGTTAATAATTTTAAACGAAAACTTGCAAATGAACATCCTTTAAAAATTAGAGATTTTTTTAAGGAACAGGTAATAGATATAAAATTATTTGGTTTTTTATTTTTTTTTTAATAAAATTTTATATTAATTAATTTAATTTCAATTAGTACAATTACTTATATATTTATAATTTGGACGATTATCATGACATTCATGAAAAGCGAAGACCTGATACTGTAACTCTATCAACAGCAAAACATATGGCAACTTGTGTTTGTAAGCAAGTTAAAGCTTGTGCACCAATACCTATTATTTTTAACAATGAATCAGTTCATAATCCAGCAAATATTGATGCAAGTAACATTTGTTTTTGGTTAATACACAAATATCATGGAATATTTGATATTTCATATTCAAACCGTAAAAAACAGTGGCTTTCCAATAAACAATCTAGTATAGAGAACTTTGATCAAATAGAATTACTTACAGTTCATTGTTATGACGATGCAATTGTAGAAAGAAAGGAAGAACGCTCAATGAAAGGTGTTCGATTGATTGGATTACAAGAAAAAAATCTTCATTCAATGAATGATTATATTAATGCACTTCAAATAATATTAGATATTGATAAGGATATCAGAATTTTACATAATAGAGTAGCACCATTAGTTGCAGATTGGCCTGGGCAGTTATTTGTTAGAAAAGCATTAACACATTTACATAAAACAAATTCCCAATATTCAATACCAGATGGAATTAATTCTTTTATTCCAATTCTAGGTCCATTACATGTTTCTCTCAATAGCAGAGAACATGTTATATTAATATATCACCCCTTCTTTGAAAAACTTTTTCATTTTGTTTTTGGATCAAGAAAAGTATTTGCAAAAAAACCAAAACCATGGAGAATCAACTTGCTTCTTGATTTGGCTTATAATGGATGGTGTAAAATTAGGGATGTAATTAACTTAAAATTTGGATGTACCTGTAAAGATACTGAATATTGTATGATGGTAGATTTATTGGATAATATCATACCTAGTACATTAGATATATATGCTACACTTTTTCGTTCTGGTTCTTATGATGAATATATTGAATCCATTTTTAGAATTTGGACATTTGCTTTACGTTGGAAACGACACAACTACAATAAAGCCCCATTGGCTTTTCTTTCTGATGTATTTTATTGGGAGGACATTAAACATCCTTTTGCAGAAGTAATAAAATTATTTTTAGTAAACTTTAATGATTACTTTGTTGAAAATATGCATAGCAAAATACGTGCACATACATCTACAAACAGTAGTACAGATAATATTATAAAACAAGCTTATTTAATTGGTATGCCAATTATTTTATTTATTTTTATTTATATAAAAATATTTTATAAATTTAATAATTTTACAGATGAACGAAATCATAATGAACTGAAAGATACATTTCAAAGATCAAATGAATATCCTTATAAACCATCATCATTAAAACTATTATCAGAAAAAACATCACTATTTTTATTAAACTATTTTCAAGAAATATATAAAAATCAAGGAAAAGGAACATTACATAAAAAAAGAAAAAAAGTAGAGTATAAATTAGCTACTTTAGGAAAAACTGTTGATTCAAGGTGTCTTCCAACAGGATATAGTACCAGCAAACCCCCATCACAAGATACTTGTGATCATTGTAATAAAAAACTTAATAATGGTGAAGTATTAATGTGTGGTCATGGTTACCATTATGAATGTTATCAGATTCTTGAATATGGATGTCATTACTGTGAAGAATATTACAAGCGCGGAATTCATAGCAATGTAAAGTCATTTTTAGAAAGGTTAGAAAAGGGTCCCAATATTCTTACTCCTGAAGAAAATGAAGGTGAAGAGGTTTTAGTTGAAGAGAATGAAGTAATAGAAGAGGTAGAAATGAATAGAAGTCAAGAAGTACATAATA